TTTTTTTTTTTTTTTCCTTTCCTGTGATTTCTATAGTGATTTTTTTGTTTTGTTTTATTATCTGTTATTTAAATTTATAGTTCGATACTCTAGTGTTCAGGAGTTTTATACAAGATAAGTTGCTTGTTATGCACTTCCCTTTTAAACCTCATAGCCTTTTTAATAGCAAAAATCAAGTCGTCTTAGCTGCATATTCTGATAAGTCTTAGGACAACTTATCTGTCGTTTGCTAAATATTGAAAAACATAATCTAACAAACCAGAATTCCTACTTTAATCATTGTGACCTTGTTCGGTATTTCATACTGAGCATATCCTACTAAATGAACCAAACAAGAATGACAACACTATACCGAAAACTTATGACCTGTTTTACTGAAAATATACAGCTCTGGGAAATATGTCAGCTAGCTCATTTAACACAACATTTACCATTTATCCCTATTGGCAGTCCTCCAAAAATTGGCCTTTGAGGAGAGAAATCCAAAACATTACTTTTCCTCRTATATGCAATTAAAAGAGACAGGTGGGAATAGAAATGATGGCATCTCTCTCCTACTCTCCAAAATGCTTTGACTTGTTTTTATCTATACATGCATTTATAGCAAAAGTTAATATTTTATACAGTGCTAATTTTCAGTAATRGCTTCAGTCCTCATCCTGCGTATGAGCTTAAATCATAGATGGCCCATTCACATCTATGATCTTTAGTGCATAAACACTCATGGTAGGATCAGGGCCTAAGACTTGGAGGTTCTGGGGAGTAACACTGATGATGAAAAGTTAGGTACCACCCTCTTCTATCTAAATTTAATTCCAGTAAGTGCTGTTTATTAGAATTGTCTGTACATGAAGTAACCCAAAATGAAGACAGTCCGAGTCTCAAACAACTTGTGCAATTTGAGAGAAGTGATGGGATTCAGTGGAAGAACAGGAAATGAGGATGATTGAATAGGATGTGTTGTTTAATATATATAATATATATATAAAAAAATAGATATTTATATATGTTTAATATATATATAACGTCCTAATACACACATGCACATACACGTCTGTAGTATAAATTGATTTTTGTGACATCATAGAAGAGGTGGCGTAAGATAAAATGCAATGAGCAGAGAGACTTGGACAAGCTGGGCATGAGAAAGATGTTTCTTGTCCTTTAAAAGGGACTGGAGAGTATGGGCACATCTGTCCTGACAGATCAAGACAGCTCTGATCCTCCTACTGCCTCTGCTAAGCCCAAACCTGGAACATGCAAACACCTGAGCCAGCTGGAGACAAGACAGCTCAGATAGGGACACATTAGCCTTGCTCATAAGCTCTGCTGAAAGTCAGAGCTCATTAGTTCCGGATTGAAGTGGCTGGGCTGCCCAGAGCAATCCTGGGCTTATCTGCTTCCCACCACTCTGTTGTAGGCTGTACTTTCAGCCTAAGAAATCTGGTCTTTCCCTTCTGTGCATATCTGATCCTGGGTGCTTAGGACAGCTGCGTACCCACCTTGCACACACAGGGCTAGAGGCATCCCAAGTGCAGCCTAAACCCAGCTCTGCGTGTGTGGCGGGAGAGAGACGAGAGTGTGCCCAGCTTCTCCTTTCCCAATCCCAAACACAGAATTTGGCAGGATTTTTTGTCAACTTCAGCAGGGTTTGATGAAGCCTTCAGAGAGAAGATACCCCTAAATTCTCCTGTGTGGGATAAGTCTGTCCTGAGAACTCAGCTCCTCAGGAGTCCTGCCAGAGCACACCAAGCCTTGTCTCTCCAGAGCGGTGGCAACCACCTTGAGCCTCTTCTGGAAAGGTGGAGGTGCCCCAGGAGACTCCGCAGCTCCACCACGTGGGCATTGGTGTTCCCAGGGGACGCCTTAGAGCAGGTTGTCCCTGCTCTCACCCTGTTGTCAGCACTTCGTCGGAGCCAGGTGCTGATGTTGCACAAGGCATCTGCAGGGGAACTGTGAAAGGGAATATTTTGTGCAAATTCACAGCCTTTCAGATACCTGTTCACAAGGACCAGGTCCCAGCCCCCTCCACCCTCACTCATCCTACCCTCTCTTTTACACTTGGAGCTGAGCAAGGACCCTCAGACTCTGTACTGTGGTGGTTATGGATGGTGTCATGTGTGTCAAGGGCAGGGGGATCACATCAGCAAAGCATCCCTTGATAGGATCAGGTTTGATGGGGTAGGATCAGGTTTGATAGGATCAAACCTTTCATGCACGACCATCTGAGCGACCACTGATCCATCTTCCTCCTTCCTTCCTTCCTTCCTTCCTTCCTTCCTTCCTTCCTTCCTTCCTTCCTTCCTTCCTTCCTTCCTTCCTTCCTTCCTTCCTTCCTTCCTTCCTTCCTTCCTTCCTTCCTTCCTTCCTTCCTTCCTTCCTTCCTTCCTTCCTTCCTTCCTTCCTTCCTTCCTTCCTTCCTTCCTCTTTTTATCCCTTTTTCTTCCTTTCTCTCATTCTTTTCCTTTCTTCCTTTCTTCCTTTCTTATTTTCTTTCTTTTTCATCTTTCCTTCATTTCTTTCTCACTTGATCGCTTCCTTGCTTGCTTTTTCCACTCTCTCTTTTTCTCTCTCTTAATTTTCTTTCTCTTTTTATCCCTTTCTCTTCCTTTCTCTCATTCTTTTCCTTTCTTCCTTTCTTATTTTCTTTCTTTTTCATCTTTCCTTCATTTCTTTCTCACTTGATCGCTTCCTTGCTTGCTTTTTCCACTGTCTCTCTTTTTCTCTCAATTTTCTTTCTCTTTATTGGATACACAGAAACTAAGTCCATTCCTAAAGTGGTATAAATCAGCCCAGCTGCGTTGCAAGCAAAAGAAGGATTCACCATGCAAGGCACTGGCTGCAATATTCTTGTTTTCTTTCATCCTGATCCTTTCCCTCACTTCTTAAAAAATGTCTTCTCTGGTTCTTTAGGCTTGTTGCAGTCAAATATCCTAAAACTGATGCAGTTGGACACCTTTCTTTTAGAAAGCAATGAGGCTTTCCCTAGTTTGTTTAGCAGCTGATATGTGGGCTACAGATATAACTGGTACTTTAGGTTATTTTGCACTTATGAAAACGAGGGGCCAAACTTCACTCAACTATTATATTTCACTATGATGCTGCTAGAAACATGGCTTAATGAAGACATACTAAGTTAGACATAAATGATGTTCTGTGTTTCCTAGATTTTTCTCCACCAGCATATATTGGCTAGATTGCTTAGTTGTCTTTTTCTGGAGTTTCATTGTCATTATTCTGCCAAGAGAAGTGCAACTCTAGAATTAAGATGTTTTCTAGCAGATCTGTTAAGAGAAAAGATAATAAATAATAAGGTCACAAACATTTGCTAGGTTGTCCTTTTAAATGCATGTGCAAGCTTGCATTTCTTCTTTATTTCTAAACCATGGTTTATAAATAATTAGATTTATACCAATCTCATTAGACTTGTATAATTTATGCAAGATTATATGCTTTAAAATATAAATTAATACACATTTATCATCAGCTTTGGTGGCATCATAGACCTGAAACTGGACAATACTTTTATATTTGCTCTCCTTAGGCTTTTGCATGCTTATGACAACAGGCAGGCCTGAGAAAACACTGCCTTTGACTTTTAACATTTTAGCTACTCCAAGTTGTAGAGTATATAAAGCTGTAAGTCTCTTCACTTTATAATGTGGTTCTTATAACAATGTTATCTGGCAACCTACAGCATCCACCATGAAATACTTGATAGATTTATGTTGTAATGTGTTGCAGCATGTAAATAATGTAACTTCTCTGCAATAAAGCACATTTATATGAAAGCTGTCTGTGACCTTTGGTGTCGTAATTTTTTGAAGTCCTGATCCAGACTATGCAGATTTCTCATTAAACATAACTAAAAATGAGTTTTACAATGTATGTGGTCTAATTGTATCATTACCTCACATTTTCTTGATGCAACCTTTAGACTAAGTGTAGTATTGTGTTCAGGACTTTGCATTAGGGAAGTAAAGACCTTGCATGACGAACAGCTCGCTCCTTTCAGGGGCAGTAACTTACAGACTAAAACTCTAGATCTGTCCTATCTTCTTCTCTGAATTTAATGGCAAATAGAACATTGAAAACATTAAAAGCCTCTAGTCCACCTGTATGATACTTCTGCATGACAAGTAAAAATCATATAGCATGGAAGAGCAATGAGAGTGAGAGGAGTCGTGTATAAACTTCTGAAAGGTCTGAAGGTGATTAAGAAATTATGTGCTGTTTTTCAATAGAGGGGAATTACAGAAGACCCTAGGAAGTCATCAGGCAGCAGTTTACAATAGTTTTTTTTTCTTTTGTATATGGTATAATTAAATTGTTGCACTCATTCTCACAGTTTGCTGTGAAAATCAGAGTTCAAAAAGCCTACTACAAGTCATGGAAGAGAAATCTATCAAGTTCCATGAAAAAAAAGTGGGCACAAACTTAATCAATTCCTGATCTACAGAATGTTGAACAGTGGGAGACTGGTCTTAGCAGAAATCACATGTTTTCGTTCCATTAGCATTCACTCCTGGATGTGGTGCTAGATCAACATTTCATTCAGCCCAGCACAACCTTTGTGTGTTCTTATGTCTGCATAAATACAGCTAGTTAGTCTTAATTAGTTGATTTTCATTTGTCATTATTCCTGCTTTTTTAATGCGCTATTATTCATGTAGGAGATCTGGTAATTTCTTTCGCAGGCTGATGTTCTCTTGTAATGAATGCGCTGCCATCCAGTGCTTCCTGGGTTTGAACACTGCCACTTCTGAGTCATGACACCCAGGAGTGACAGGAACATGATGCAGAGGGAAGAGGGAAGGGAATTATTTACATTCAGTGAATAAACTTATCAC